ATTTGGTCGTTCTCAATATGGACCGTAACAGAAGCAACACGAGATTGCGCCCAAGATAGTCTGCTTGGCATATGTCACTAGCAGTGAGCACCCCAAGGCCCAAGTCACTCAACACACTGACTGATGTGCTGGGTTGGGTTGGGTTGGGGTATCAGATTACGCATCGTATTCCCCCAAATTGCTTCTCTTGGTCAAACATTGGCACTATCAAAGCGATAAGCCAAGGGCAATGACCTCTAACTATTGCTTCTACCATACTCGCCCTCGCTTGAGCCCGGTTCAGTGCCGAGTTTCCATCGAACCCATGCACGTATACTTTCTCCATCTTTCCCGAGAGTCCGTGTTGATCCAGAGCCGAAATCGAATGGGTTCATTGATCAAAGAATAGATTTCGACCCGCCTCGACGTCAGTATTCCCACTTGATCTGGGCAATCCATGTTGCCACAGTAGCAGCAACGTTGCAAAAAAAGAAAAAGAGAAAGATAGCGAAAACCCTAAGAGAGAAAAACACGAGCCTCATCACGAGGTCTAGAGCTAAAGCGAAGCATAACTCGCCGGACAATTTTGGGCTCAGCCCGCCACATGATGTCGCCTCTGTCCATAGCTCGATAACATGTTCTAATTTTATTCTTCACCTTGGCCTACCTGAGTTAGCCCTTGGCAGTCCCGTCGGCCTCTTTTTTTTTGGGAGAGAGCATTCTCGCCCAGCCCAGCCCAATTACCGCCTAGTTACTCACTCATATGACCATTCAGGGCTCTAGGCCTCCAAAGAGTTTAGGCTGAGCCGGGCTTTTGAGCTCGAATCAAATGCCCTGCCGCCCCTCTCACTGTAACGCTCGATCTGGGGGGAGGGCGCTTGAAGGTCCCTGAAAGAGGGATGCAAGATGATTGACTGTTGAATGTCATCGTGGGCGGGTTGTGCCTGTTATTAATTAATTGCATTATTGGATTCTTTAAGTGCATCTTGCTCTGATTTGTTTCTGACTTCTCAATCCTCTGTTTCACTCTGTCGCATTCATTCCTCATATTGAGCGAAACATTCTATCCGCTTGCATAAGACATGTTCTTACACGATACAGCCAAGTGAAACTGCGTCATGCCAAATTGGCTGACAATTTTATCACCCACAGATGAAATACACACTCAGCACCAAGATAACATCATCCCAACAAGAGAATGTTTTGCAAATCCTCATTTCAGGCCCTGTCTTTTGCTTCTGCTCAGTGCTCATCACGTCCGTCTATCTCAGATCCTTACTCTCCTCATAGTGCCAGGCTAAAGCCCCCCTTGGTCTAAAACTGACCCTGAGTTTCAGAGTCTCGAAATGTTCACCGAACCATCCAATCCAAGTATTGATTGCCCTTCAGCAGAAGGAGTTCTGACGCGCGGTATTTTCTTCCCAAGCTTCCCCATTTGAGTGATTAACGTTTTCTTTTCACGTGGATTCACACCGACACGAGGTGATCGACGTGAACATGTCTATCATCTCGGTTTTCTTGACGTTTTCGGTTGATACCTCGTGTATCTGTTCCTTGACGGTTCCTTTCCGTTCTTGACTGTGATGTTTCCATCATTCGATTCGATTCAGTTCAGTCCAGTTACATAGTTCGGCTTCTCGTCTAGCAGTTCGGCCGGTTGCCTCATTGCAGAGCCGATGTCCGAAACCCCCATATTTTCAACATCATTGTGGTCCTCTCCACTAGATGATTGACATTGACACCCAATACCTTGTCTGTCACTTTAACCCTGACGGGTGATCTTAACACACAGTCTTCAATAACTGCAGCCCTAGTGAAATCGTGTCCCCATGTTGATATCCATCATGTCAGCGCTTTGGAGCTGAATATGTCATCTGTTAGGTACTGGCAAAGACTTATCGTGAAGGATTCGATTACTACTCGCAATCATGCACTCGTAACCTGAGACGAAACCACCTCGTATCATCTCCTTTCCCAGCATCGCATCCGACACAAGTTGTTGTGTTTGGCCGGGATATCATATCATGTCAAGGAATCTCTATCTGAAACCACGATTATGCGAAACCCTCATTTCATTAATGTTAAGCAACCTCACTTTGGGCAATCAATCCGTTACCCCAACCTCTCATTGGACCTTTCCCTACAAGAAAGGAAGGACAATAAAGGACTTGGGTCATACGATGCATGAATGTGACCGTTTGGTCCTAGTATTGTTCTTGAACCCTTAAGTTAGTATTCCCCGACTGTAGAGTTTACGCTTCCGCTCCAATCACTGGAGTGCAAAGATTGTCGTCGTATAACTTGCTACCCTAAACTTCAGATACACTGTCGAAGATAAAGATGCTGCACAAGGTAGTGTTGGTCTAGCTCCGCTGCCTGAACAGCCAGGCACTTACACTGAAGTACAAGAAAGTAACGTGTCTACTTGTGGTTGTGTGCACAACTGTGTTACTTATGTAATTGTGGTCAAGAGCCAGCTTGAAGTAACATCAAGGTAACATCCTTTAATTTATATGATCTGCAATGATGGTTGATACAACGGCGGGAAACGACAATCATGGTAAGGTTGCACCGTTCTATGTTGCACTGAAACCAGCTGAAAAGTTAATGTCTATTCACCCGGAAGTATGATTAAAGTTCATCAAGCAGTCGATACGAGACATTGGGTGTGCATTGAGCTGAGTTGTTCCTAGACGAAGGCCTTCCTTATACTTGATAGCATAGAGCCATCATATATAAATAGAACTAAACAGATATTTATCGCTTCAGTATGGCTGTATATTATCGTGATAATTTCAAGTTTATTCCACCACAGGTCGGATTGAGAAGTTTATCGAAGGAGTGTCTGGGGAACACCAGTAGTGGCCATTCACCAAATTACGATGTTACGGTAGATTTGTAGTGCGCCAGACATTTCGCTTAGATAATGTAGTATGAGTGTCAGTCTATTTATACATGAAATTAATGGGCTAACTTTCCGTGACGATTATTGCCGGCGTATCGGAGGGCGTTGGTTCGATTAATCTCGCTGAGTGACATTCTATCAGAGTCTAGAAGGGTAGATTATACAGGCGACTAGAAACTTCCTGGACGTCTAAATCCGAGTGGAGATGATTGAAATGATCAAGTGCCGTTGAGGAAAACAGAATAAGTACTGTGGGCATTGAAATTCGGTCATATCGTAACCCAGCCAGAAGCAAGATCGTGAAACCACTTCCAAGGAGAGGCTAAACCATATGACTGCGTCATAAGATAATACTAATATAGACTTAGACGCCTGTATAATGACTATTAATTAGATCAAATCCTCTAAGACTTCAGTTTGATCCATTTTTTAAGAACATCACTCCGTTCTCCGAATGCACTAGATACCGTGGACTAGTATCTGACGAACTCGGCGTCAGAAAGCGGGAGTACTTACACAAAATAAGTAGCACAAAGCAAATTTACTAACTGATGAGTCTTTAAAACCCAACCGAGGAAGTTTCCGTCGCGTATATGGCATAGTGGTAATGTCATTCGTGAGTGTCGTGACAGTTTCATCAAATGGCCGTAAGCATCAGCAAGTTGCCGGTTATCAGCCACAGAGCGTTTACCAACTAACACCCCTCAATTCTCCCACAGCTCAGTTTGTTTGTAGAACTGGCTCTTGCAGCTATCTGATGCATGGCCTGCCGACTGAAAAGTGGACGCCGCCTCGTGGAGACCAGATCTTCGACACGCAGACTATAGGACGCTTGCATGTAGCTTGTGGCTTCGACCACAGCAGTATAGTATATAGTAACTAACTAACTGTACTAACATTAAGACAAAACTGACTCTGAGTGTTGTGGCGCCTTCGGTCTGTGCTGTGCATGAACTGAGATGGTGTTGATGACGGGATGGTTGGAGATCTCGGACCGCCTTGCATGCATGAGCAAGGACCATGAACGAGAAAATCTTGAATACAATCAGATTCTACATTCCAGAAACATTAGTCTACTGTTTCGCTGGATGACATGTTGTGTATCTAGAGCTGAGGTCTTGTTTACTGCTAATCCATCGATGACACCCGCTTTCATGTCCCCGAGGCGCCTTTCCTAGAGACTAGAACACAACACATAACTGCATCTTCCAGTACTCTTTTCTAATGACTTGTTAAGAATACATAAGTGTCACTACTGCCAAGCTGCAGAGTGTTGTCACTTCCCGAGACCTGTCTGTGCGATCAACTCTTCAGTACCGGCGGAACGGATCGGATACCCCTGCCTGTCACAACATGTCACGATCATGCAGACCCTAGATAATAGCTGCATGAATCATGGCTGTACATGTCCGATCAAGTTCGGCTGTTTCTAGCTCTTGTATTCATCTTCTCTAGTCCAGTCCCATCTTGTGACCCCTGACTATCCAAACAAAAGAGTCATCATAGCCTCCCTTGGACAAACTCATCACATCATAAAACCAGAAGAACACCTAAGTGGAAACAACCTCTCGATTCAAAACCGTAGTTCTGGACTCAGTGGCGGAAGACTTTTCCCCACGGGTGCAACGACAATCCCTATATCCCGCTACGCCACCACCCTCTTATACCGTAACTCGCAGGGCGAAACCGCATTGTTTGCTCCTTTGACACACCGCTCAATAGCGTCATACCCACTCGACAAGAAAGTCTAAAGCCTCTTGTTTTACAGCATGGGGCCGCCAGACTGTTAGAACGGTTGGAGATTCTAACGCCACCAAGGGCAGATCGTGGCGTTTAGGACCGTTGGCTTCTAGCGTCAGGGGTGGTGACCTTCTATTGGGGAGCGCCGTTTTGTTTGTAACGTCTGGGGTGAGAAAACGCCGGAATTGGGCAAACGTGATAAAACGGTGGATTTGTTCTAGAAGAGACATGATGTAAGTCGTTTGGTATTGTAGAGAGCGAGCTTGATATGAATACAATATATAAGAAGCGGAAGTTTGGGGTGTTTGTTGCAGTGTCAATCCTTTATTCACTCGCTCATTGTGCTGGTTCACAGTCACTCATTCAATTCTTCAAAATGGCCTGGTCAAATTCGTTCATTCTTTTGCTTGCTGCTTCAGGCATTGCTGGCGTTCAAGCTGGACCTTGTAAGCCTCGTCGCTCGCCGACTTATTCTGTACCACCTTACAGTGTACCTACATATCCTGTTACCCAGTCTTCTACCATCAAGACTGGAACTCTCGTTCCTTCGACTACCGCTGGTAGTTCTACTAGTTCATATGGTCCAACTTTGGACTCGAGCACTACGTCTTCCACTCATTCCAAGATCTCTACTACTGAGTCTACTATCTCTATCAGTACTGAAAAGTCTTCAACTACCTCTCATGAATCCTCCATGAGCACCACAACTACGCCATGTAGCACTTCTTCCATGTCTTCTGTATACTCTGTCACTACCACAACCAACAGCCACATCACAACATCCGAAATCAGCACAGAAACATCCGAGGACACTTCAAGCACCACTAAGGAAACCTCTACCACAACAGAGGGCAACACTTCCACTCTTTCAGCGACTACTAGTGCTGTCAGCACAACCCATCAGACTTATTCACTCTCTACAACTTCTGTGGCTTCGTCCACATCACACACAGAAACCAAGACATCTGAGACTACAAGCACGACCCCCGCTTCATACACTACAGGATCTGAATGTGAATCAACAACGCAGTCGATTACTTCTGACTCTCACAGCAGCTCAGCTTCTTCAAGCACTACCTCCGAGACATCTAAAGCATCCTTAGCTACAAGTGAGGTTTTTTCCACTACAGAGAACTCATCTACATACGAGACAACAGAACCTTCGGGAACTGCTTCTCCTTACTCAACTTCTGATATGTCAATGTCATCTGAAAGCTCTACAGCCTCTACTAGCGAGACAACAGCCTCAGAGTCTTCAGTTACCTCAGAGACATCAACTTCTTCGGTGCCTTGCACGTCCTCTGCGATAACATCTGAAGCCTCCTCCACTACCACTCCATGCGAGAGCTCTTCTTCTACTGTCTCCGGCACAACATCTCATCCCGAGTCTTCTAGCATTGCAACACCCTGTGAAAGTACCACCACGTCTGATTTATCTACCACATCTCATGAGTCATCAACGTCTCCGACTTCCACTCCATGCACCACCTCATCCCCTACAACATTCTCAAGCACTACATCCACCAAGTGCTCGACAACCACATCTCCTCCTCCACGTCCAACTTGCTTCCGCTACACTATTCGCAAGGATCCGCCTCAGGCTGCTGACTGCGGCCACACCGGTCATCGCAATGGCAACAAGGCAAAGGTCCTTGGGTACGGCGACTCAGATAGTGTGGAGGCGTGTGGAGAGAGCTGTGCCAAGTTGGATGGCTGTAAATCTGTCGTTTACGGTTACAGAGAGCATGACTTGAACCAGCCTTTCTGTGAATTTTTGGATGCCATGCAGGGGCGCGATGACGAGGATGATACCCCTTGGCAGTGGTATGACTTGTCTTGTTTCAACCCGGACTGTCTCTCACCGAATGAGTGTGGGTATTAGATGTAGGAGTCGTGGATGAAGTTTTGGAGGGTACAGTCTTTGTCGTTTAGCCGAGGCCTTTTGTTTTTTGTATATACCACCTGAGTTACCAGCACACTCTTTTCTACGAAGACCTCTTTGCGCAAGTGGACTTTTGTTTGTCACCCTCGTGCAGTTCCAATCAAGTTTTCTTGTCCGTAAGCCCATACATAAACTCGTCCCAAGTTATCTCAGTGAAAGTCCCCAAGCCGAGGTCCAAAATACTCTCCAGGAGTAACTGTCTTAAGAAGACACGACTGAGTTCCATCACATCCCTCGAACGGGATTCTATTTCCCCACCAGTCTAGGTTGATATCGTTGTATTGCAAAGCAAAGAATATGACCAGTGCCGACAGTGCAACACCAGTCGAAAAAGCTGCCGAAAGGATGTAGTTGTACTGTTTATTGTTAGGGTATCGTTGCATAAGCTGCTCAGTAAACTTACTTTTGCCCAGAAAGCGAGATATCGCTTCTTGATATACATCCAAGAGAACCATCCAATCGGCACAGCTGGCCAGATGTAGCTGATATTATACGGCGCCCAAATCATACCACCTCCAAGGAGAACAACAGGGTGAGTGCTTCGAATAACTTTGTTATTTGGATACTGTTTCCCCAGCCACCAAAACAGCAACACTAAAGCAACACCAAAGGGAAAGCCTACCAGGGTCTCGGCATACTGACCCCCAGGTCCAAAGAGCTTCTTGGGCCCGATAGTTCCCCAAAGCACTGCAGCTGTGAAGAAATTGTTCAGACCAGGACAGGTGAAGCGATAAGGCGCATTTGGCGTACAAACGCCTTCTAAGTGAATCTGGTACTGTAGAACCCCAACAGAGACGAAGGTGGAAACAAGCGTTGGTACCATTTGTGCCCAGAACGTGAAGCGCGGAGGTATCTTCATGTAGTGTGCCAGCTTCAAGTCCGCGCTGAAGTATATGGCTTGGGCGCAAGCTGTGTATCCGAATGTCTTGAAGAAACACAATGCAATGGCGTTTCCTTCGGCAAAGGAGCCCCCCAGGAACTCAGCTATTACGTTGAGCGGGACAGCAATGCCTGTAGTGGCTGATATGATGCCAACTGGTACAACAAAGATGAGACTCAGAATGATACCAAACGGTACAACTGCCGGGGTGGTATGCGTTGGCCATTGAGAGATGCCGACAATTCCGATGATGAAAGCTATCACAAGACAAACCAAGTACCACCATTCAGGGACTTCGCGATATGTCTTCATAAGGCGATTGTGCGCATCTGACACCTGTCCATCTTCTGTATCTCCCTTCTTAGAACGTCGAAAGCTGTTGACAAGGCTCTTGAAACCTAACGCTATTTGATGATGGTGATAAAGCGCGCCGTATGTAAGAGCAGCGGTATACATTGCGAAAAACATCATGTATGATCCTAGATGAGCTGCTGTGAGGAACGCAGGTGAGTACGCCTTGTACTTCTCAGCATCAAAAATCCCACGCTCATCCAGAATAGCTGAGACATTGTATAGCCCTCCAAAATGGTCAAAGGCACGGTTTGAGTTGACAGGGAGATAAGATGTGTAGTAGCCGTTTCCGTAATAAACACCCAGAATGACAAAAAAGGACAACATTGTACCGCAGAACAGGTTGAAGGTGGTAAAGAATGGCACCATGAGAGGGTCACAGCCCAGCGTGACGATATTCCAGTCGAATGTTGGGAAGGGATTGAGACCAAGGCCTGTGTGCCCTCCAGTTATAGTTGCTAGATCCCGGTTGTTCGGAGATATCCAAGTCATCCAACTGAACCAAGCCAGGCTGGCAAATAGATAGTTTGGAAGCCAGAAGTAGGCAAACATTGCTCCAAAGGCAATACTGAAAAACTTGAAGCGGGATGTATTCCAGATCTTCTTGAAGGGGCCAGGAACGCGCATATCGGCTTCATCGTGCAATGCTGTATTTAAAGCGATACAGACCAGTGTTGTTGGCCATAGACAATATGATGGGTATATAAGGAAGCGTCTGCAGATACCAGCAAGACCGTAACCAATGAACTTGGACGAAAGTCCCAGCAGGAGTTGATACCCGATGCTTATCGCATAAGGCTGGTTGAAGTAAAACGGAAGATACTGTATCCAAACAATGTAATTGGTATACGGCGTCCCCATCGATATACTCGACATAATAGTGATCAGCATATGTTCTTTCTTATTAAACGGCCCAGGGTTGAGACTGTGCCGAATACCAAATACAGTGACACCAATATCAGGAAGAGTCTTCTCGAGAAACTTGCCGAACGGATAGGCCAAGAGTTGAGGAACAACAGTGTTGACACCGATCATTGGTTGCCGGATCTCGAAAAAGCTGTTGATGAATGACACAGCGCATGAGAAGATGATGCCCACGAACCAAGTACGGATCGTGGAGCATGGCATGCTTGGGTCGTCATGGTTGCTAACTATTGCTCTTACTTCAGCATATGGAGAGTTGTGTGTGATGAGTGCCGCCTCGATCTTAATTTCTTGGATGAGAGCTTCATGGCGTTCTGGGTGTTGAAGAATATCGTCGGTGTCTGTTTGATATGAGTACATGATAGTCAAATGCTTGCAGGGTGCCATACTCAGGAATACTTCAATCTTCTTGATGACAGAAAGAGGAAAGTTGGGATCTCTTTTATGAAGCGTATACACTTTCTTCATTGTCTGGATACTGTGAGTTTATCATCAAGTCTAAGCTGAGATCCAAACGTACTTTGTGAATATCTTCGAGAGACAAGGTAGACGCAACCTCCCTTGCTTCAAGCAAATCATCTTGAGTTACGTCGAGATCTCTCCCAAAACCACTCTCATACCCAACTGCCTCTCGACTATCCGGAGACGGGCTGTCAAGTGACTGTGTTCCATGTGAGAATGAAGCAAACATGGCGAAGTGTAGATACTGACTGTTTCTGCAAACTCAACTTCTGGTGTCCTTGACGGCCTCTTCAACTCCTGCATCAACGTCGCCATCGGGATGAAACATTAATAATGGTTTACATAAACGCTGCAAATTCGAGTATGTTCTTTTGCAGCGTCTGCTCAAGGTTGAGGAAGCCGAACTAAGTACCTAAGTAGGGCGGATATAAGTCAAGTGCTGGCATGCGTTTGTTGCTGTAACTCGAACCTGGAGGGTGACGTCTAGCTCTACCCCAAGAGATGAGAGAAACACCTTGCAAAGTAATTGGATGCCAAACGGCATCGCCAAGCACTAAGACACCAATGAACCGCTAAGCCCATAAGCTTAAACCGATGATCACAACAAGGCTTAGCCACCATGCTTATCTCGGCTTGACCGGTGATATGCAGCAGCCCATCCATAATAAGGCTTATTGCATCTTGAGATGATTTTACTAAGCTCAGCGCCATTATTAACGTTGATAAATGATCTACTGTTTTCCAGGAATACCAAATTTGCCACTTGACTTGTTAACTGCGTTTGTTCAGACTGAACATGTATTGGCCAGCCCTACCTATTGGACAGGTCCACATGATCATCGACCTTGATTGTGTACACCAATCATTCGCTGGCCACCGACTCGGAGACAAGGACTGTCTCTATTAGCATGTGAATTCATATGCTTGGTAGATGGCTACGTTGACCTTTGACGACAAGATAAGAAGTAACGCACCAGCTTAGGCGGATTTACACTTCGGAACTAACCAACATTTGTATGAATGAACAGTCGATATCTATCAATGGGTACGACAAATGATTGGATGTGCATCACTTTCACATGGGGAGGTATAATTCAGTCGAAGCAATTTGATTGACTAATTGACAATGTGAATCAATGAAACCTTATTAAAACACAATAACAAACCAACGAAATCCCGTGTTGGCAAAGGAAAGAAATTCCACTTTTAATCCATTATTGCATGCCGGTTTGCGCAAGGGCGATCCTCTTCCAGTGATCGCGCTCCGCTTCCAGCTTAGCAATCTTTTCCTCGAGTTCTTCCATCTTAGCAGCCTTTCGTTCACGAGACTTTCGTGCTGCAAGGGTGTTGCGGGCACGCTTCATAGCGACGATGTCGCTGGGGTCATCGATAACGATAGGGGGCAGGGGCTTGTCACGCTTGCGGGCATTCACACCGGCCACAGAAGAGTGACGAGTGGAAGGAGATGTACCCGACTTACGGCGACTGGGAGCAGGAGACTGGTTGTCTGAATCGACTTCATCAGACTTAAGCTCCGGTGAGTTCTCAACGCTGGTGGGTTGAGCAGAAGGAACGTTGTTGTCCTGGGGGAACAAGGGAAACCAAGGGTCTGCAGCACCGTCGAAATCGGCACTGCCGAAGTTTGGAGACACATCGTAGCCATCGAACTCGGGGGACTCGTTGTAGATAGATGGTGAAGTCAAAGCCGTCAGCGCTGACGAGTTAGGTGCAGACATGAAGTTATCATGAGCAAAAAGATCTTGGGGCGAGATAGTCGCCAGATTGCCAATAGAGCTGGAAGAGCTGCCGCCAAAGTCAAAGACAGAGGGGACAGCAGGTGAAGAGAAAGCCGTGTTGGCCCCGCCATCGAAGGCGGTAAACTCCTCAGGGAGTTCGACGTCTGATATTGGTGAGCATATGGTTCTGGAAGGGAGATCACGGGTGCACAAACCTGCAGCGTTCATCATCTTGGCGGTTTGTTGCGGGACACTTCCTGTACTCTGAGAAAAGAGAGGAACTGGAGGCCTAGCAAGGCGATTCTGCTTGTTCAAAGCGGTAGATGACGATGGAGCCGAAGAGGCGTAAAACTGGTTCGTAGGACGGTTTACAGGGGACGAAGAATGACCAAAAGCCTGGAGCAACTGGGCGACTCGTTGATTCTGTGCAGCAGGGGAGACAGGCTGTTGGTGACGATTGTGCAGATGAGACGAGTGACGACGCTGAGATTGCAGCGAGGTAGTTGACCGATTAGGGGGCTGAGGCTGATCGAACAAGACAAAGTCCTGTTGTGGTGATTCGGGACTCTGTAACTGTTGCGCGGATTGTGCCGGCAGGCTGGAATTCGTGGAGGGAAGCCATGGTGACTGGGGATCCGTGGTGAAGACTGAAAAGTCTTGGACTGAAATGTTGGCGGTTGTGAGAGAACTTGAGCTGAAGCTATTCAAAGCAGGGCTGGAGTTCAGGTCGACCGAGAGGTGAGCTGAACGAGGTGGTTGAGTGGGGATTGATGCGTTAAGGTCCTGGGACGTAATTTTGACTGAGGACTTGGGAATAACGGGGGAAGGGGGTGATTTAGAACATCTTGACGATCGCCTTAGGCCTGAAACTTTGATGATATTGTATTGTGATGATGATTTGGGGGTGGAGAGAAAAGAGAAGAAGAAGGGGCCTCAGGACGGGAAGATGGAGACAATTTGTATTTCTCAGGCAGCAATCGCGCAAGGTTTGTGCGCTTTCGCGGTAGGTACAAGCCCGGATTAATGGGGCAGTGTCCGACACTAACAGTCTCTGACCTGGCGTTGGTAGGGTTCGCATTAGCAGACAACTTGTGCTCTCAGGTACTGTTCCAAAAGTGCGCCCTTCGGACAGACATGGGCCCGGGCAATGAGTCACACTTTTATACGCCAACCTTAATAGGACTGGCCGATTTCTTGAGTGCAACCAATTCTGAGACGGCGCATCCTGCGCAAAGGCACCAAGCCTCCACCATAACTGCGACTACGATTGAGTGCTAGGGTGCATTCTGCAACTGGAGCGAGTTGGCAAGCCTCAAAAGGGTCACTTTCGGTGTGTTTGCTGCACTCTGCCACTTCACTTTGTGCCTCGTCTCTGCTCAGTATGCACTCTTCCCCGTCTTTTCGCTGCGTTGTGTTGCCTGGATGCATGCTGGCGCAGGCTTGAACTAGCGAATGCCCGCCGTAAGCAACAAGCAGTGCCCCTGCATCCAAAGCCCCAATTGGCCGATTTACTTTTCCGCCCTGTTGGCTTGAGTGGCTTCTACCAATCAGCGTCTATGAACGGGTACCGAAGCCGCCATCACAGAGTTCAGATGTCCACGACAACTTACAGACCGAGTCTCCATGACATTGGCATTGTTGTAGCAGTGAAGGCTTACGAGGACAATGATGAAGAGGACAACGAATCCTCTTCCAAGGGGCACTCAACTCGACGCAGCCGCGCATGCATTCATGCATCCCTGATAAGTCCATCCTATTCTGGTGTCTCAGAACTCTCATTCCACCTTCGAGTCTGCCTCCGGCCTGTCCATCCATACAGCCACGCATCGCTGCGATGATCGGTCGAAAAAAATGTTGGCGGCCTTTTTTTCCCTCAATAATTTCCCGATATTTCAGTCGCAACCGTCCTAGCCGACCACAATACAGTAAGTGAAATGAGAAACTGACGCATGTTTCAACCATATCACACTGTGCCTGAAGAAATGCGTCTTTTCTTCCGTGTTAGTCGCGGCATCGCATTTCGTATCTGTGAACCAGGGAGACGGCCCTAACCTCGAACCATCAATATGCCAACATTTTGCCTGCATGGGCTGAGATCGAAGGATTCAAACTGGATTCAGCCCACCCGTATTGCTATTCTGCCTTTCCACAGTGCATACATGGGATTCATGGGAATGTCTCAGCAATTCGCTATCTTTCCTACTCTGTCTGCGTATCCGTATCGTGTTCCTAGTTCTTGATTGAATTCCCAACATCTGACAACAACATCCTCATTGAATTGTGAGCGCCGGGATCCTATCACAGGCTAAGACGCTGCGCAAAGCTAGTCTAAACAAGAAGTGGATGGTATCTTACTTTCTTACCAAGCATCTTGAGCCTTTTTCAAGGTTGTTCATGTACTTCGGACGCGCAAATGCCGACTCAATTCGTATAAGCTTCTTGGCTTGGTGTTTTGCGGAGCCACCACTTTGGGATATCGCTCGATCTCGTCCATGTTCTAATTCCGTTGTACGGAATATCTTCATAGTTTCAACCTCCAATACTTGATTCCTCAGCGAACCACCAGCCATTAATTCCCTAGCCTGTCCAAGAAGGAATCAGCCTGTTTCTTGGCCCTCCGTGCCGCCATATCCTCCCTCCGCTTCTCAATCTCCCGTCTCCTAGCCTCCTTCTGCTCCTCTCGGGCCCGACGTTGCTCTTCCGTCTTGCGGCGCTCTTCCGCGAGCCCCTCCATCTCCGCCGTTCGAGTCTCTTCGTCCTTGCTGAACTTAAAAAATCCCGTGCCTTTCGTGCGGATCTCCCAATCTGCGTCGTAGTGTTGCGCTGGCGGCGGCGTTGCGCTGCGGTCTCGCTTCCGCGCCAGCTCTTGCATCTTCTCCGGATCATCGGGATTGAAGGCCATCGACTGAATCGCGTCGCCGACGATGAGATTGCTGGGTGCTGCTGGTCTTGCAGACATGCGCTCGAGCTCTTCGGCTCCCAGTAGACCTCGGCGCGCTCTGCGCTCTAATCTGTCCTTCTCTGCTTTGGTAACTTTTCGTAGACGACCAAACTCATCTTCATACTCGACCAACTCGCCGCTGTCGTCGGCTCCGTCTTCATTGCTGCTAGTCTCATGATCTTCCTTTCCTTCTTCTCCTTCCGCCCATTTGCGATCGAAGTCTATTAGGGGCGCGGCTTCATTCTCTTTTGGCACGTAATCTCCTCGCTTCATTGCAGCGTATAGTCGTGCTTTTTCCTCCATTCTGCGCTTCGCTCGCGCCAACTCTTGACTTTCCTCCTCCGTACCAGTGACCTCCTTCAGCTCCAGCTTCTGTGATCCATCAGACCCTTTGCTTCGCTTTGGTTTTGTCCCTTTGAATATGTCATCTTTTCCTTCCTTCCGAGGTCGTGCGCGGCCAGCAGATGTTGCCCCTGATGGATTATTTGACATCAGTGATTTCAGTTGAGCAGTGAAGTCGAGCGAGCTGGTTAATGTTGCATCTCGCTTTTGTTTCTTGACTGGTCGCTGACCATACAAATTCGGATCTTGAGGCATCTTTTCCAATATGTGCTGTGGTTTGCGTGTGTTCTTGCGGCGGATAGTCGTGGATCATAGAGGAAAACAATGTTATATCACCGGCCTAAAACAAACCAGGCCCATTCGTAGGTACACGGCCTGAGGCAATCATAGTTTCGTACTGAAGCAACAACTTTGAGTTAGTCAAACCACTGCACTTTGATTGATCTGCCATATATCCACGGCTTTATTATCACTTATACGACCTTTTGATATATCGATAATATGAACAAAGTGGGCTCATCAATTGGTTGTCTAATTGGTTGCTGTTTAGAAGTCTCCGATGTTGTAGGGTAATCCACCGCGGGGTTATGGTGTGCTCATATCATCATCTTCAGTGCCCCGCCATCGAAGCTTGACTTTGATCCTTCTTCACAAGCTTCGTCAACATTTTCTCAGTACAACAGCAACAATGGCCGCTCCCAAACAAGTTTTCATTGGAATCATCGGTAATTGAAACACTAAAGCTATAACACACCACAAACTAACAATCGTCACCAACAGGCGCCGGAGGTGTCGGCAAGGCCTTCATCGACCAGCTCCAATCCCTCGCTGCTCGGAAGCCATCACCGAAGCTGAACCTCGCATACATTGCCACGAGCCGCAAAGCCCTCTTCAACGACGACTACTCTCCCCTTAACATCGGCAACGTCGTCGACACACTTGGCTCCTCCACCAAGACCCCTCTCGCTCTCTCTCAGGTTGTCGAGTACCTGGCTAAGGCTCCCGCCAAGAGCGTTCTTGTCGACAACACCAGCTCTCAGGATGTTGCAGAACTTTACCCTCTTGCCCTGAGCCGAGGCATCAGCATCGTTACACCTAACAAGAAAGCCTTCTCAGGCTCATACAAGTTGTGGCAGGACATCTTCTCAGCTGCCGAGTCCTCTGGAGCCCGCATCTACCACGAGTCTTCCGTCGGTGCTGGTCTCCCCGTTATTTCCACTCTGAAGGACTTGGTTGAGACTGGTGACAAGGTTACCAAGATCGAAGGTGTCTTCAGCGGCACCATGTCCTTCCTATTCAACTCTTTTGCCCCTACCGAGGGCCAGGGTGGCAAGTGGTCTGAGGAGGTCAAGAAGGCCAAGTCATTGGGATACACTGAACCCGACCCCCGAGATGATCTCAATGGTCTCGATGTCGCCCGCAAGCTGACTATCCTCGCTCGTCTGGCTGGCATCCCCGTTGAGTCCCCCACTTCTTTCCCCGTGCAGAGCCTCATTCCCAAGGAGCTGGAGTCTGTTTCCAGCGGCGACGAGTTCCTTGAGAAGCTCCCTGCCTTTGACTCTCAGATGGAGGAGACCAAGGCAGCTGCTGAGAAGGCTGGTAAGGTTGTCCGATTTGTTGGTAGCATTGATGCTGCTTCCAAACAGGTCAAGGTTGGCCTAGAGCAATTCGACCGCTCGCACCCCATTGCTGCTCTTAAGGGAAGTGATAACATTATCAGCTTCTACACTGAGAGATATGGAAGCAACCCTCTGATTGTCCAGGGTGCTGGTGCCGGAGGTGATGTGACCGCCATGGGAGTGACGGCTGATCTGATCAAGGTCCTGTCGCAAATTGCATAAAAGTCCATATTGAATAGCCAAAATAAAAGTATCGAGTTTGAAGCCCCAATGAGAATTCACGTATTTCCAGTTCGTTGTGTGCTATCATGATTAAAGTGACGCTTTGTCTATTCCTGTTGCTATTGCAGCAGCATGTGGGTTCGTAGTGACAACGCTATCAGGTTCGGAATCGACAATCGAAGGTGGGTTCGTATTACTGATATTCCTCCACATCCAAAGGAAGAGGTCGAAGATCACGAGAAGAAGAACAGGTATGAATAGCAAAAGACCAAGGCCGAGCTATCCGTAAATCAGTCACAAGCCCAGGGGAAACTCGGTCGATCTTCACTTACACAGACAAGAGAGATCAAGTTAACGATAGAGGAGTACTCGGTCATCAGAGGACCAAACAAGTTCCATGATGCGTCGGAGGACATCTGGGGCAATCTGGGTAGCGCTACAGCTTGCTTTGAAGTAAAAAAGCTCATGACTTGGAAACGTGTGATGTTGTGGATGGTAAAATCACAGATTCCGAGGCTGCCTTCAGGGATGGAGGTCGAAGCTCCATGACCCAATGTCCAACGAACAGGGTTTATTTCCGTCTCTTAATTGGCATGTGCAAGGCCAATGCTCAGCTCTCCACACCGCCTGCCGAGCATGGATCATTCTGCCGCGTGCAAAGCTTCATTCGCATCAGCTTCACAAATTATCACAAGAAATTGACAAGCATCAACTGAATAGCATCAACGGCCATCATGACAACAGAGCTCACAAGTAAACAGAGGGCGCGCGAGAATGATCGCGCAAAGAGGACGAAAGATGGGGTCACTCAACTACCGCGCAAAAAGTTCTATCGCCAAAGAGCGCACGCAAATCCTTTCTCCGATCATATGCTAGAATAGTATGTGCACTGGCTCATATCAATTGCTTTATTTCTAACATGCTCTAGTCCTAAATCCCCAGACGATATGGACTGGTCCTCATATTTTCCACACTACGTCCAGGAGGGAACACCAGAGGATCCCTCAAAGCCTCCTAAACTGACAAAAGATGTGGAAATCGTCGATATTGGCTGTGGTTTTGGAGGTCTTCTCGTTGCTCTAGCACCCAAGCTACCTGACACTCTCACACTCGGTAAGTGAAGTAAAATACCGTCAAATAGATGTGTACTCATGTACCCAGGCCTGGAAATCCGAACACAAGTAGCAGGCTACGTTCAGGAACGTATAAAAGCATTGCGATCACAAAACTCGGACAACATGTATCAGAACGTGGGCTGCATCCGAGCCAACACTATGAAGTTCCTCCCCAATTTCTTCAAAAAGGCTCAACTATCCAAGATCTTCATTTGCTTTCCCGATCCTCACTTCAAGGCCAGGAAGCACAAAGCCAGAATTGTATCGACGACACTGAACTCTGAATACGCTTATGCGCTACGACCAGGTGGCATTGTGTATACCATCACCGATGTCGAGGACTTGCACTTGTGGATGGTTCAGCATCTTGAGGCTCACCCTGCTTTCGAGAGGATATCGAAAGAGGAAGAAGAGGCGGATGAATGTGTCCAGGTCATGTCGACCGAGACTGAGGAGAGTAAGAAGGTTACGAGAAATAACGGACAGAAGTTTGTAGCGTTGTTCCGGAGGCTAGAGGATCCTCCGTGGTAATTGGAAGTCAATGACAACTTGATGCTTTATCGTTTCACAAGATGCTTTAAATACCTATGCATTGAAACACTTATGCGAACAACCTTGTGATATGGTCATAATGTATGCAGCGTTGAGCTCCAATCTTGCCAATGAACCTGTGCTATTCTGCTGGTAAGTTCACAAGAAAGACCATGTTGTTGACTTGCCGAGAAACATACAAGACTACCTAGGTAGGTATACCTAACATTGGGACACTCTTGATATTCGATAGGTACCTGGAGTTGGGTGATTATCGTACCTACAGGCAATGTACTCGTCTCTAAGGTAGCGGCTGCTGGCATGGGTTCCTTGTCCCGCAGACCTGGAGCAGGCACCTTATTTTGACAGGGGTCCATCAAAATGACAGCATCCACTGTAATCGACAGCCACCTCACCTAACCTAACGGCACCTCCACTACCTAGCACCAGCACCAGCACTACCAACTTCACCACTTACATCCAATCCATCTTCGTTCAAGAATGTGGCTCTGAGGTCAACATCCTGGTGATGGCCCTCAAGCGTAGAGATGCCATTGTTGCTGGACTTGCCGCCTTCATAGCCTGGGGCTTCGCTGCGAGCTGGTCACCTGTCCTCCGCTGGGCAGGCCATGCCTTTGTTGCTGGCTCCCTTATTACTCTCGTCGCCCTCTTAGCCGGTCTCTTTCTTGTGTCACGACGGCCAAGCGATCGAATACTACAACCACATGGCGTTACTTTCCTCGACAAGAAGTCATGGCGATTAGAGGTGCAGGCACTGCGCCAGCGACAATCATATACTCCAACTCCAATAGACCCCGAATCACCCCGCGTTTCCGAAGCCATCGACAACTTGCTTGGCCTTATAACCCGGGACTTTGTGAATAGCTGGTACTCAAATATTAGTCGCAACCCGTCTTTTTCGAACCAGGTCGATCAGGCGGTGCGGCAGGCGTTGTTGAGCTTGACTGATTTCCTTCGTCATAAGGACCTGGCGGAGCTCGTCACTAGCCGTCTTGTTCCTCTCCTCACCGCCCACTTTCGAGACTTCTACGAAGCAGAGAAGTCAGTGCGAGGAAAGAAACTCAACCGTTCTGTCACTGAATCTGAAGAGCTGGACCTAGCTATTGCTTCAAAATTTCGTGATGGGCGCCTACATCCAGCTGCTTCTTTGTCGTTTCCCGACACAAAGATGGTCCAGCAGGACTACCTCAGGTCTCTTGTCGCAAAGATTGTACCCAAAGTATTACCTGAGAACATGTTGTCCAGTCGAGCTGTATCGATTATTATTCGCGAGATCGTTGCGTGCGCCGTTCTGTTCCCTGTGATCCAACTTCTCTCAGAACCAGACACTTGGAATCAGCTGATGGAGAATCTGGGCCGCTCAATGCTTCAGGATCGATCAACCGTTCGGAAGCTCCGAGCAGCTTTGGACCAGCATGCTCCTTCGACACCCAAAGCCAGCAAATTAGCTTCCATGCCTAGAGTTGCTCCTGGAGACAGTGAGCGCAAGTTCGAGAAGTTTATCCGTGCTATTCGCAAGGTCAATAATCTATCAGATGCCCGTCGTTTTCGTAGCGAAGTCGCTAGTCAACTGAAGAGGGATTCTCTTGAAGACAATCAAGACCAAGTTTACCTTCGTCGATTGGAGATGGGAAAGAGGCTGCTAGACCAACGGGTTAATCATCTTGCTGCTGGTGGCGAACGTCGTCCACTTGGTCCTTTACCTTTACCGTCGACTTCTTTTTCACAGTCCAAGCTAGAGAGTGCGCCACTAGTAGATATTCTGCGAGATTCTTCAGCGCTTTCTTACTTTATGGAATATATGGATCGACAAAATCTCATGTCTTTAGTGCAGTTCTGGCTTGTCGTTGACGGATTTCGAAACCCTCTAGAAGATGATGGCCCAGATGACGAACTGCCATCAACCCTACCAATGTGGACAGATGCCGACCGCCAGGATTTACAACAGATTAACCAGGCCTATCTTTCGAGGCCAGAGTTGAAGGTCCCGGATCATTCGAAGAATGAAGTCAAGGACTTCATCAAGGCAGGAAAGTCAGCCACCCCCTTACAATACTATAGAGCGCGGCGCGCTATCTTGAAGGCCCAGAGCGCCGTCCTTGAGGAAATGCGGTCACGCTTCTTTCAGAGTTTCAAGAAGTCGGATCTATTTTACAAATGTCTTGCAGCTGAAGAAACATCCAATATCCAAACTCTCAGATCGACACTACAGCCAGAAGTACAAGCACAGGCATCGGTAACCAACCGAGCGAGCAAGACTTTGCCAGCAAAGCCAAGGCCAGTATCGCGACTAACGCCGCAATTATCTAATGCTGGGAAACGTACTGGATCCGCATCGGATCTCAAATCTTTGACATCCAATGGTAATGGGCATGGACATCGAGCTAGGCGCTCGTTAGACGAAGGCTCTCTCAATCCTCTATTCGATGACGATGACATCGATACTGATGAACTGGGAGATTCTGTCCAGAGTCTAGATCCAGAAGCGAACAGCCAGCAACTACCAGATACCCAAGTTGTTAAGGCGGTCGAACAGGCCTTTACCGATATCATGGAGGATGATCGTCCTCAAACTGCTGAAGCTCTCCGTGCCTCCCTTTTCGGCGGCCCTGGCGGCAGCAGTATTGGAGGCATTGATGATAATGCATCAAGTCTCTTCTCAGGCAATGATAACGAATCTCATCGTGGCTCTCTGGATATGGGTATTCGACCTGCTATGGCGAATAAGGAAGGCGAGAAACCAAGCCTTTCGTCGCTTGGCCTCGTCAGTGCGGCTTCACGAATCGGTGTTTTCGTGGACGACGATCTGTTTGGCGATAACAACAAAGATCTCCCTGACGACGGTGATCCAGATGACGGGCCACCGCCTGACGACGAGGATGAAGTGCATGAAGCAGCACCAGGAGACCTGGGATTGGCAGAAGCTATCACTGCTCTCTCAAACGACATCGATCGCTTGGTGGCGCAGGAAGCGGTTGTGGAATCGTTGACGCGAAAGGCAGAGTTGACAAACAATACTGCCGAGCTGCGCATTCTTAGGAAGTCCAAAGCGTCTCTACACAGGGAGATCAGGCGCAAGGAGCTCCAACGGCAGCAGTACGTGATACAGGAGAGCGACAACAGTCTCTACGGCCGTTCAACCATCAAAATTAAGTCTATCCAAGTGGGAAGAGAAGAGGATGGCCGAGAGTTTGCACTCTACGTTATTGAAGTCCAGAGAAATGCTGGAGAGCAGATGCCTGCAGCTTCATGGGTAATTTCGCGGCGATACAGCGAGTTCCACGAGCTTCACCAAAAGCTGCGGTCCCGATACCCTTCAGTTCGAAACCTTGACTTTCCTCGACGGCGAATGGTGATGAAATTTCAGAGCGAGTTTCTACGCAAACGACGGACTGCCCTGGAGCAGTATCTACAAGACCTACTTCTTTTACCAGAAGTTTGCCGCAGCCGAGAACTCAGAGCCTTCCTTTCACAGAGCGTCATTACCCAAGGCCAGGATATGTTGGATCGTGAAGACAAGAAAGACATGATGACTCGGTTGTACGACTCTGTTGCGGATGGAATGGATGACATCCTTGGAAATATTCCTGTATTGGACCAGATATCTGAAGCTGGCCAGAGCCTCATTGCAGCGGCTACTAACCAGCTCAACGCAGTTCCTCTCAATGTTAACGAAGATACGTTCCCGGCCGCGGAAGCTGAGGCAGAGTTGAATGCATTTGAGAATAAGGAACTTGAGCCGTTCATCAAACCGATATGCGACATCTTTCTTGAGATTTTTGAGCTCAACAAGGGAAACAATTGGCTTCGTGGGAGAGCGGTAGTAGTTGTTCTGCAACAACTTCTTGGTGGGACGATTGAAAGAAAAGTTCGAGACAATGTCAAGATGTTTGTTCAAGACGAAAACATTCTCAAATACATTGGGTTGGTGCAAGATAGTCTCTGGCCCGGAGGCCAGTTACAACGAGATCGCAAACCGCGAACAGCTGCCGAAAAGAAAAAGACACGGACCGAGGCGAGCTTGATGCTGGCCACATTGGTGCCAGATCTTGCAGGTAGTGTTGTTGGAAGAGTCAACGCTCAGACAGCCAGCCGTCGTATATTTGCGACGTTGAACAACTCGAGGTTGAAGTAAGTCTTTAATTTCGTTGCCAGCTTGTGTATGAGCTCAACTAACCCATCTATAGTGCACACCTCGTATTTACTATGATTGATGAAATTGTCTCTGTCCTTTTCGATGAACGGTAGGGTTATGGATAAAAGATCTTGTGATTCTTCTCCACAAAGCACATGCACATGATACAGGGCAAAGCACAGCACAGCGAGGCGTTGGGCGTCACTGACAAGGGAGTCAAGTTGGGCTGATACAACGATGGTGATGCGGGATTGGGCGAAATGAATGACTTATGGTTTCGTAATGAAGATGCCTCTTTTCTCTCTCTCTCTCTTTTTTGTGGAGGGGGGGCTGCTTATTGTTATAGATGTCTACTCCATGTATAAGTTGCCGTTGATGGATGGCCATGAAGTAATAGTAATGACAGTGACAATGGAAGAAGGAAAGATTCTTATACGAGGTGATCAGGCCACGATTGGATCGTATTTTGCATGTGAGTTGCCAGTCCAGGCAATCTACATACAGCCACAGCTACAGTAACGTTGTGTTATGTTATGGTTATGTTATGTTAGCAGGCTCTAATGCAGGCGAAAGCGTTCGCATGTGACGCTAGCGAAGCAGCTTCAGCGCCCGAGATAGCGGGATCCGGGGCACCTTCTCGATCTGGCCATTCTGCCGGGTCCTGCCGCCTTTTGGCCCCAGCCTTTTCGTCGCGTTTTATGTAGGCGAGTCCTACCTTGCCTTAGTAACTAAGCTTGCCATGTTCTCCTTCTTCTCTCCACCAACCCAACGTCGCTTTTCATATCATCATCATCAAAGTCAATCCTCGTCCGAAAACCGCCACCTTCTCAAAAACCCCGCGTTTTGACTCTGGCTCTTTTGTTGGTCCATCGCGTGGCTGGCCCTGGACATTTAATCTGGAATCTCCCTGGCTTTGATCCATATACGACTTTCTGCTCCTCTCTCCATCTGGATCCCCCTCTTGCTTGACTTGACTTGACCCGACGACACGACACGACGCCCCTCCCAACGGCAACATGACGGAGGTATCAGCCACCCGGCTGTACTTGGGAAACCTCCCTCGCAATGGTCCGGACTCATCGCCCTGACGCTCTCAGTCAAACCACTGACCTGCTGCCCAACAGCTACCAAATCCGATGTCGAGGCTCACTTCGCGACTCATGGTACCGGAGAAATCACCGAGGTTAAGCTCATGAATGGCTTCGGTTTCATCGAGTACAAGGACCCCATGGATGCCCGTGATGTTGTACCGGGTTAGTTATCCCCCCTCATCTTTTGTTTTGCGACGCGCTTGCTAATGATCCATCTAGCCTTCCGTATGTCACCACCAGACTCCACCCCTCCTCCCTGGCTAACGTGCGACTTCGAAAGATGGCTCTGATTTCATGGGAGAACGACTCACTGTCCAGTTCGCCCGCGGTTCCCGGCATCGCGAGGGCGGTTTTGGCAACCATGAGCGCACCGCGCCACGGCCTCGTCGAACCCCTCATCGAATGCAGATTACGGGACTTCCAAACGATACCTCTTGGCAGGTCTGTTCAATCCTCCCCGTTGCTCATCGCTGGATTTCCTGGATCCTCCCCTTGTGATTTGCGCGCATCTCTGGTTTTTCTGGTTTCGATCCATTGGTACTACACCGGGACTAGGTTTAGGGGACAACTTCCACGGACCCCTCCACCCCCTCTCCCGGTTTTGCTTCCTGGTTGTTGACTTGGCGAACTGCACTATCATTTTGTGGATTACTTGGACTTCCGGCGTTCCCCTTCCTGGACAGCAACTTACGTGGATTCTGGAAATAGGATCTCAAAGACTTTGCGCGTCAGTCTAGCTTGGACGTTGTCTATTCTGAAACTGGTCGCGACTCGAACGGCCGAGGGTGAGTGGTTGCTTGCGCATTATCTATCTTGGAGGCTAACATAGACCAGCTTCGTCGAATTCGAGACTGCAGCAGACCTTAGAACGGCTGTTGAGAAGCTTGATGGGCGTGAATTTAAGGGCCAGCGAGTCCAATGCGTTGCTGACGTATGACAAGGAAGCCCCTTTCTTTGTAAGAACTCGAGTTTGACATGGCCTTCTAGACTCAGCCGGATATGCCTCCTCGCGAGCGCGGTCGATCCCGCTCCCCAGGACGTCGACCTTATCCTCCTCCCGTGGACGACTACGATCGGCGTGGCCCTCCCCGTGGATATAGTCCTCGTGGAGGCGGTGGTGGTTACGGCTACCGAGATCGCAGTCCTCGTCGCGATTACTATGATGATCGCGCCCGTTATCGGTCTCCTCCTCGCCGTCCCATGGAGGACTATCCTCCCCCTCCCCCTCGCGGCCGCTACGATGACCCCTATCGCCGCGACTACCCTCCTCCGCCCGATCCCTATGCCAATGGGCGACCTCCTTATGACCGACCTCCTCGAGACTTCCCTCCACGAGAGGGCGGATACCCACGAGATGGTGGCTATCCCCGAGACTATGATCGTGGTGGACGCTACTGGTAAATCCATATCCCATTACCGCTTTGGGCGCTTGCTTGGCGGGACTGTCCTTGACCGACGGTGTTAGATCTACTCTCAATCGAATGCGCTAAATGGCGTGAAAGTTTGACGACCAGTCATGAGGTAGGAAGGACAAGATTGAAACGATCAACAAGCAGATATGCGCAACAATGATTGACGACCGACTGGTGATATTCTCAACGAGCAAACACAAGTATGAGGGACATTAGGATGGCGTCAGGTGTAGGGGTTGGAGGACTTGACGAGAGTTGACGACGGGTACCGGGAAAAGCCACGGGCGCACACGACATGATTGTCTTGGGTAATATGAACTATAGTGTATGACTATGAGGAAGCCGTCGTGGGTGAGGGTTTGCTTATTTGCTTTTATTTTGTCTTATACTATATGTAACCTGGAGGAAGATTTTGGGGGTACTCAGTCAGAGTCGTTATTTGCTAGGTAGTTTTTGCTTTTATCACAGAAAAGGGTCAAAATAATCCAACTTTTGATTTTGTATGTTCAAATTGACATGGCATTACTGCACAACGAGTGAATCTGATACTCGCGATTTACTTTGGACAACAACCCAACCGTGTCGCCCCGTATAGTACAAAAAGAAAGATGCCGGACCGAACAGAGAACAGTTTGACGCGCTTTATAAGGGATTACGAAGTGTGTATAAATATGATATCGGGTATTGTTGGGTTTTGGTATGTGTTGGAGATTAAGCAGTCTTCTTCCATTGGGTGTAGACACCGATGACACTGCTCAATGTACCAGTAAGACCGACGATGCCGTCATCGAGGAAGGAAACATATCCGAGACCGGAGACTGGAACGAGGATATCGCAAAGATCGCAGAGGAGTTGCTTCTTGGCGGCAGCGCGCTCACTGAGGTATATGTTAGTACTGGAGATAGAAAGGCAAATGAGCGCATGTGAAACTTACATGGAGATGGTCTTGCTCTCAACAACACCCTCACCCTCTTTCAGATCAACCTTTGATGCGCGCACGCTCAGCTGTCGCAGAGTGTACAGCTGACCAATGATGCTAAAGGCGATACCAATAGCCCAGGATCTATAAGCCTCCTGCTGAAGGCGCTTGGCATGCTGCCACTTCCTGATACCGGCAGCATCAGGAATGGTGAGAGCATCGCAGGTGAGGTAGCCAGCATAACCCAGCTGGCGACCGACCTGGGTGTACTTGAGGACGGGGTCGAGGGACTTGGAGTCGGAAGCAGTGGCAGCGGCCTTGTAGTGCTCGACGAACTTTCCGGCTCGGAAGACCTTTCGGAACAGGCCGAACTGCTTCTTGAGGGCGTTCCAAGGGGCGATCTTGTCGGGAGTTGCGTTTGTGCGGAGGAGATACCAGGCGTAGAAGCGGGCAAAGTACTGAAAGACTCGCATGAGCTTGTCGCGACCGAGGGTTGTGGCCATGTAGCGCAGGTAGTGCGCTACCGTGGGGTGGTAGACGAGAGCATCAGCGACCATGATTGCGATGGTATCGAGTATAGGTAGAGAGATGTGATGCGACAGTTGGGATATACAAGATTACGATTCACCAGTAAGAAACCAGCAATTACTGATGGTAAGGAGGAAGATGGAGAGGGAGATGGAGATGGAGATGTAAAAGTCAATGTGAGTTTTTACCAGGAACGGGTAAGAAAAAGCTGGGGAAAGGTAAGTAAGTAACGCGAATGGAGTCAAAGTGTCTGGAGAAAGGTAACGCAAGTCGAGAGAGAGAGAGATTGAACGTGGAGACGGAGACTTGACCGAGATGCCGAGGTCCGCCGCTCTCGTGAGCGGGATAGTTCAAGGGAAGGGGGAATTGTAGCGAGAGAGATAGGGAGGGATAAGGAGATATCGTGCAAAAGAATTGCCTTTTTGGGAATGGGAATAATTGCCGTTTATGAAGAAATTCGATAGTTTATGTTGTTGCATCGGTATTCTATCCTTTTAGTCGTTCAGTCATTGCTCACTCAGTATTAAAGGGATGACGACCCTTCTAACTTTTTGTCAACCTCCATCACATCACATAGAAAGGGAGCATCAAAGTTGAGGTCAACAGCCGGCACATGTCCGAGGCTTCATCAGGAGAACTCCAGACTTCGGGGTAGCTTGGCGCCAATTCTGGCAATGCATTTCAACCTCGGGGACTTTCCGTAAGAGATCGGACTCACCCTCTCTGTCATTCTCTAACCTTGAGGGTTACAGCTGAAATGGCTGACAGCTGATAGAGACAAGAGGAAGAGAGGAATGGAAGCTCCCGGCTGACCGGATAACCTTTGATCCGACTCCGGTCTTCCGCCGTCAGAGAAGAAGAAGTCTAGGTTAAGTTACTAGGTAAGTTAGGGGGGCATGCAGGCATGATATAAGTCGAGTCGAGTCGAGACTCAGTCATTCAATCAATCAATTGCCTCATAACCCCAAATCAAGGAATGAACAAGGTATGAGATAAGGCATCTAAGTTCCCAATTTTCCATCCTCATAACTTCCCCCCCCCCCAAACCCACAATGAGCATATCACTCGGTGTTTCTACTGAAGATCTTTGGAGCGTCGAGGTTCAAAACCCCCCGCTTAAACGTCAATATGAGCGAGCCACCCCCACCGGGGCAGCCTGGCAGGGCCTGGAAATAGAGGGTCTCTCAGTGGCTGTGGGAAATCGTGATGCTGCTCGGGGAACAACCCCCGAAGTCTGCCTCCAAATTCAACCACTGTAATATTGTGGGGGAAGAAGTCGGAGTTGGAGACCCCGGGAAATCCTCTTGAGCCGCTTCCCCTCGGCCGGCAAAAGCACCAATTCCCTTCGGCAGCCCGCTATCAAAGGTCACGATGGCCCATGACATTCCGATATGATGCGCCCCCAATGGAGCTTTTTACGTATCATGAGTCTCTCTCGGTCATGTTGTTGCGGGTTTGAGTCTGCTCTGTCGCGGATGGGGCCGTTGGTAACCCCAGTTCAGTCGGTTAATGAAAGTATGTAGGTAGGTACCTAATAATGAATGGATGGATATCATTGATCGTCATATCCGTCAATTGTCGTCAAGACACGGACGGACGCGGTATCCGTAGTCAACATACGTAGAACTAGTTGTATTCCTTTACATAACTGGTCCCGTTTCCCCAATATTCGTCGCGTGCCTCTCTCTTCCTTTTCTTCCTCTCTCTTCCTCTTTCATCTTTCTCTCTCACGATACCCTCATACTATTCCCATCATACCTCTTTTCTCTGCCGGCTTAAACCTTCTCCCGGTCTAAGTCAACCCAAAGCCGCTTCTCCAACTGCCCCCTCCCGACGATCTATCCACCAACTTCTCCTCCGGAGTTTCATACCTATCATCCCCTCACAAACCACATTCACAATGGCTACTACAAACAGCGGACAAGAAACCGAAAAGGTTAACACTAACATTGTTACCCTCACCCGCTTCCTCACTGAGGAGCAGGCCAAGCACCCAGAGGCCACTGGTGACTTCACGTACGTCGTCCCTTGTGACTGACCTCAAAACTTGATGATGCCCGGCTAACAACGGAAAATCTCAGTCTATTGTGTCACGCTCTCCAGTTCTCCTTCAAGTCAATTGCCTACTACATTCGACGCGCTACCCTAGTCAACCTTACCGGTCTGGCTGGTTCTTCCAACATCACCGGCGACGACCAGAAGAAGCTCGATGTCATCTCCAATGACCTCTTCATTGAGGCCATGCGCTCATCAGGCAAGTGTGCGCTCCTCGTCTCTGAGGAGGAGGACGAGATCATTTACTTCAAGGATGCTCATGACGCTCACTACGCCGTCGCTTGCGATCCCATTGACGGATCCTCCAACTTGGACGCCGGTGTCTCAGTCGGTACCATTTTCGCTATTCATAAGCTCCCCGAGGGCTCCAAGGGTGTCAAGGAGGATATCCTCAAGCCCGGTACTGAGCTGCTCGCTGCTGGTTTCACCATGTACGGCGCCTCTGCTCAGCTTGTCATCACCATGCGCGGTGGAACCGTCAACGGGTTCACTCTTGACAACGGAGTTGGCGAGTTCATTCTGTCTCACCCCGACATGCGCCTCCCCAAGTCGCGCGCCATCTACTCCGCCAACGAGGGTAACTCTCTGTACTGGGAGGACAAGACCATCAACTACTTCAACTCTCTAAAGCAAGCTCAAGAGGACGGCAAGCCCTATAGCTCGCGATACATCGGTTCCATGGTTGCCGACGCTTACCGAACTCTCCTCTACGGAGGTATCTTTGCTTACCCCGCCGACAAGAAGAGCCCCAAGGGCAAGCTCCGTATTCTGTACGAGTGCGCGCCCATGGCTCTCATCTTTGAGAATGGTACGTCAATTGAAGTCTAGTGATCAACACTTTACTAACCATGCTTAGCCGGTGGTCAAGCTGTCGACAGCAAGATGAACCGTATGCTCGAGGTGGTACCCGAGCACATCCACGACAAGGCCGGTATCTTCATGGGTAGCTACGACGAGGTTGAGAAGGTGAAGAAGTTCCACAACTAAGTCAAGGGGGAAGGAAACAAAGAGAATGGCGCTTTGGCATGGGATCATGAAATCAGTTAAATATCAAAAAGCGAACCTCATGAGTGAATGAGCATTTTAATGATGAAATTTATCATATCTTATCTTCCATTTTTCTGAGCCCATGCAAAGAAAGTGTCGTCATGATGAGAAGTCATGATCGTGAGCTATCATGGAGGCGGTTTAAACTGGGGACGTCACGCCACCTTGGCCACCAGGTCTATTAGAATGGGCTACAGCGTCTTCTTGACCTGTATCTATAGATTTAAACTGCTGTATGATCATGGTATTGTCCACTCGGGTTGGCAAAGAGTGTCTTGTTCAGTATTCGCCTCCCAACAACTAAACTCAACCATGTAGAGGTTGAGCTACTCAGGTCCTCTCCACAACGTATGGCTCTAGGCTGTATCACACAACCTGAAGATGATCACCAGTTAAGGCGATGAATACTTGTATCCAAACTGCTCCTTGGCCTTGTCAACAACCTCCTTGACTTCTGCGCGTTTCCTCCTCGTCTCTTCATCCACAGGATCCAACCCTGTCGGCTTGTCTTTATTACTCGGAAGTAACAAGCCCCGCTTCACAGCAGGCCTCTCAAGTATACGAGCAAGCCATGCTTTGACATTTGGGAACTGATCATACGAAATTGATGTGCCTGGCAGACGATCTGTCCAACCGATCAGGGAGATATCAGCGATGGAGTAGCGACCTCTACCGGGTCCGACGATGTAGTCTCGGTCTGCAAGACGCTTGTCGAGGACCCCAAAGAGACGCTCTGTCTCGCCGACGTAACGCTGTATAGCGTATGGGATCTCTGGCTTGACACCAATGAAATGGAACGCCTGTCCTTCCCTGCCCAAGTGTGAGTGTACCGCCCAGTGATATTGATGCTCACGACTTACATAGGACCAATTCCGCCATGCTGCCAACCAATCCATGACTCGGCACGAGTATAGTCATCGTCGTCAATCTTGAATGATAACTTGTTCTCTGGATCGTATTTCCTTGTCAAATAGCTTAGTATCGCATTGCCCTCGAAAACAGCGAGATCGTTGTTGTCATGGTCAACAAGAACTGGGATACGGCCATTGGGGTTGATGGCAGTGAACCAAGGCTCCTTTTGAACATTGAGTCCAATGTCAATGCCCTGTATGGTGTAGTCTAGTCCATATGCTTCGCGAAGCTCTTCAAGAAGGATCTGGGCTTTGACGCCGTTGGGTGTACCCAAGCTAAGGAGCTCGATGCCCTTGGAGGCGATGAGGCCAGTTGGTCGAGCCATTGAGTAGCTGCGTTTAGGAGTTATGCAAGAAGATCTGAGTGAGTAATTGAAGTCTTGAGAAAGCTGTGATCTACAGGATGGAGTAGAACGAAAGGAGAGAGACATGTAAGGTAATTTTATAGTTGATCGCATCGTCAGTGAGCGGCTCAAGAACGCCATCTTGCTGTATGATTTCCAATATCGTGACTCCAGAACAGACAAATCATCGATTGGTCATTGAATTCACACTTCTTCTCTGGCAATGGGTTAGGCTTGCTGCACGATGTTGTCTAGGGAGATTCTGGCGTTCGGAGTGTTTACTCATCCAAAAGCTTTGTAATAGTGATTACCCTATAATGTGGAATCACCCAAGCGCGGAAGCGTTTGTCGAGTCTTCGACTGCCCGCATTTCAAAGCACAGCTAACGCAGCCTCCGCGGAATGAATGCTTAATGATTCAGCCATGCCCAGAAGATGCATTTGACCTGCAGCAATAACTCATCGATTCCATGTTGTTGTTTGACTGTTGCCAGTGGCTGAGTTTCAAGTAACCGGCACATCCAATTCTTCAGGGGCGCTGAACAGATGGTCCAAGAACCAGCAGCAACATGCACCCTCAGACATTCTGAATTTGCCTAGCAACATCCTCTCTCAACTTATTTGTCATTATAGTCAAATCTTGCATGAAACAACTAACAAAAGCATCGACACAAAAACACCATGAGTGGGACAACCGCGCGGTAAACGACAGAATACGCCTCGCACGTTTCGATTTGACATTAGCCCCATTATCAAGGCGCAATACGCAAGAAATGTCAAGGGATCGGCCCGTTGTTTCTCATCAGACCCTCACGAATATTGTTCAGGGTAGGTCCCAGATCAACGGTTGAGCTGCGCACGGGTGGTAATGGTATAGTTTCATGTAAATGAGAGAGTGTTCCTCAGTGGATTCAGGAGGATACTACAGTAGCACCAGCAGATACGCAGCAAAGATGTTTATGGTATTTCGTGTAAAGGTAAAGTTCTGTTGGATTTGTCAATGCAACCGTAACCCTGCAGGTGATCCTCCGATCCTTCTCATGGTGGAGTTGGAGTTGGTGTTGGGCTGTGAGTTGATGAGTTAAGGGTCCCCTTTTGATCGTCGTGAGCTTTACCCCAACAGATATCTAGACGCCCGCGACAAGTCCTCTGACAGAGTACACTCCCCAGAGACGAGACGAGAGCCTGGCTGGAATCGACAATCTAGGACTTTGTCGAGGCTCGAGAATAGCACTTGACGCGTCGTCATCAGTGCCTCAATCACAATACGATGAATGCAATGTTGCATTCAAACTCGCAACTAATCAGATGCAGACTCAACGCCCAGAACATAGAAGCGCCTACGTCACCATCACAAGGTGCTAGCAGCCAGCAACCAGCATCAAATTGGGTTCTGACTTGTTTGGTCTGCGGAGCGCCCGCCTCAAAGCCAAGTTTCCCCTTCCCCACCCACGACAACGAACGAAACCACTTAGCCCTTGGAGCTGACGCCTGATGATACTGTAGGTACTGCACCCTTGGAACCGGTAGCCAATGTTCTTCAAGCATGGCCCTGCAAGTCTTGAGTTCCCCGGGAATAACATCAACACCACAGCCCATACCTCGATATCCTGCCCAGCCTATTTACCCGCTCTAACTTACACTGAACTGACTGACTTCATCACCCATTGAGGGCCATGCAGTGCAGAACTCTACAGCACATACCGTGAATCATCCTAGGCGAGGTGATCCAAGACCCGGAAAGCAGGGAAAACTACACTCTCAGAAGCCAGGTCTTTGATCGACCGCTGAGAAAATCCCCGACAGGCTCGCGCTTAGATCTGTGATGTGACGTCTTTTCATGCCGCAGGGTCCTTAACTCCAGTTCTCATATCTAAACTCCATTCAAACGGTTTTCCCTCGCTTGGCGATGTCTTCAAACTTGTTCTTTTCAGAAGCGGCACGGCAAAGACGGGCACAGATGCAGATATAGGGAATTTCTGCATGCCTGAAGGATTCAAGCCGCTGATGCACTTTTGCTTTGACTTGGACGCAAGACTTGGAAGTTGGCTTTTCACCAGCATGTCTCACAGCGGCTGGTTTCACCCCAAAAGAGTAATCCATACTAAGTTAGCTGCCAAGGCTTCTCTACTTACCATGGCGGATTGCCCTTTTGTCCTTCTCGTTCCGCCTAAGCTCTGAAACCTCAGTGAAAGGCACTCTGACCAACATGTGCTCAGTGGCATTTCCCTCGAGTTCCCAGTCCAATCTCATTGGTACCTTCGCCATTGAACTATACTCAGATTAGTTGTTCAACTTATCGGAGATCGCCAAGTAGTACCTTGGTTGTCGGACTAACGTTAGCCGACCTACGTACCGGACGGTATTGTCGTGGCTTCGGCTGGCGGCACCGCTAAGATCCGTCTCTAGACTCTGAGCCGTAGGCGTGGAGTTAGTTGATATCCATCACAAAGCGGCCGGTCAGTGGAGCGAGCGAGCGAGTTTCGATTCGTCAAATCAAATGCGTATTCGTCGTAGAGGATATGGAGTTGTCGTATTGAGAAAGCTGTTGGCGATCAATGCCAAATAGTGAGTCCAAATAAGGCTCGCCGGTTCATAACGCTCGAAACCTTAGAGTGCCATGGCGCCGACAAAAGCGCCTGGCACTAAACTCGGGTCAACAACGTCTCAAGAAGGCATTTCATAGATTCGGATTGGTAATCCAAACCCCAGAGATCATCAAGACATGTGATGCAACAGCATTACAAAGAATGTCCGGCACTTCTGGGGGCTGCTTCGCTGTTGTCCAGCCCTGTCTGTATTCAACTTGGACGGGAATAAGTCACATTTCACGCCCACCTGTCATTGTATCGCAGAGACATTCGATATGTTGCCATTCCTGGGGAACCGGAACGGTCGAGAGAATGCCACCAGGATAAAGATAGAAAAGGCGGGATCACACGATGGGAAAGTCAATCTGTACTGCAGAGCACAGTAGCGGCCCCCGGACGTGGAGGCGCAAGATAATCTTTCGTGCGAGGTGTATGTAGTCTAGTAACTGCAAAGGGCAAGATGTGAATCATAACGAGCATGCCTCATCGGTCAAAGCCGAAGGTGAGGGAATCGTGTACAACATACGCAACGAGGCAGAATAATGAGGGCGAATGCGAGAATTGGGAGTGAATACGGGGTTGAGCTGAACTGAGTGCGAGACGAGCACGAGGAATAGGAGAAGAGTATTATGATTAAGGTGTTGCGATGTCATGTTAACACATGCAGCGTTAAATTGCTGGTTCACAGAAGCGGTATCAAGATTCGAAGGTTCAGGGGGATTAGCAGTACCCAGGCATGCATGGACAAAGTCCCCTGAGGCTGAGGCTGAAGCTGGTGATGTTGGAAAGAAACGGGTTCCTGTTATGACGATTTGATTCATCATTGCAATGAAGCTATCCATGACAGTTGAAGAACCAGGTACCGTAGGTACAATGATGTGTGTATGTGAGTGTGAGGGGGTGGACTGGACTCTAGGCTGCCGTCAATTCAGTGATTATCCGCTACTTACAGCCTCATTGATGAGTGAATGAGTGAATGAATGAATGAATGAATGAATGAACTGGATGTCCCAACCTGTCGGCTACCACTCGGCGAGATTCCCATGCAGCCGTTTGTGGATGGGCTTGTGGTTGTGGTTGTGCCGCATTCGAAAT